GAGGGTGGATGGGGTGAGGGACTACCTGCGAGCCCATGTCGGCAGTCATGAGGTACATCAAGCAGATCTGCGAACCAAGGGGTTCAATTAGTCAACACGCGCCCAACCGGATGACCAAGAGCTGCGGACACCCCGGAGAGGCGGCCATGCAGAATAATGCGACTCCCCCGCCCCTGCCTCCCGGCCGGATCCCCCTTGCTCCCCTCCCCATTTTTTCGCTCCCCCCAGAGAACTGCGGCAGGGGGAGCCTCCTCCGAGGCGAGCATGCTCTGCCTGCCTGCCCGCCTGCCTGCACTTCTGGGCCCCCTTCCTCCACTCCCTCCCCAAGCGCTCAGTGCGAAGGCGGGATCACACAGAGTGCTGCACGACGCATGTGCGCTCCTGCACGCTCCTGCACTTGATAGCAGCTGCCTTGCTGGTCATGAGGTACATCATGCAGACCTAAGAACCAAGGGAGCAGGGAAAGCTCAGTGCGGGTGCTCAAGCAGTGCGGAATCTCGGTGCGGGCACTCAAGCTCAGAGCGGAATCTCAGTGCTGGTGCTCAAGCTCAGCGCGGAATCTAAGCGCGACAGCTGGTGGACTTCTCAGTGCGGAATCTCAGTGCGGAATCTCAAGCTCGGTGCATCATGCAGATCTGCGCGTCGAGGGCGGGGAACGCTCAGCGCGGATGCTCAGCTCAAGCTCAGTGCGGAATTTCAGTGCGGGTGCTCAAGCTCACTGCGACATCTCACTGCGACAGCTGGCGGACTTACGCGGAAGCCCAACATCAGTACGTCATGCAGATCTGCGAAGTAAGGGAGCAGGGAACGCTCAGTGCGGATGCTCAGTGCGACAGCACGCGGAAGTCACTTCACTGCTCATTTTCATTTCCACTGCAGGCGGAATCACTGCTCATTTCCACAGCAGACAGAATCACGCGGAGCCATGCTGAGGAGGTTGCGGAAATGAGGGTTCTGTCTACTGTCGCACTGAGCTGCTGGGATTTCCTGAGCGCGACAGCAGCTCAGTGCTTCACTGAAAGCTCTGTCTTTCACTGAAGAGTGAAGGAGTCAAGGCGGGGGCAGGTGGTCGAGCTGCGCGAGGCTGCGGGAATGAGCGCTGCCCCGGCAGGCCAGGCAGGCCCAGCAGTGCAGGCAGGCGGGCAGGCAGGCAGAGCATGCTCGCCTCGGAGGAGGTTCCCCCTGCCGCAGTTCTCTGGGGGGAGCGAAAAAATGGGGAGGGGAGCAAGGGGGATCCGGCCGGGAGGCGGGGGCGAGGGTGTCACATCATTCTGGAAGGCCGCCTCCCCGGGGTGTCCGCAGCTCTTGGTCATCCAGTTCGTGTTGGCTGCTGTTGATGTGGGCCGCGCGCGCACGCAGAGAGGAGTCAGGCGTGTGCCACAGGGGATCACCAGAGGGGGGAGGGCCGTAGCGCAGCGAGGGCCCGGGGCACCGAACGCAGCGGGGGTGGCTGAACGGAAGAGCCTGGGCGGCGGGCAGAGGGTTCTGGGCGAGGCGCCGCGAGGAGCGCGAGCAAGGGTCCCTCGTGGGGGGCGCCGCACCGAGGAGTTTCTCGTCGTTGCGGAGCATGCGGTCGGCATCCGCGCTGGTGCTGAGCGTGAAGGAGATATTCTGCATGCCGGGAGGGAGAGCGGCATCTCGCCCAACGGGTGGCCCAACGGGTGACATTCTTCAGAGGAGAGAGCCCGTGTACAAGAAGCAAGGCGAGAATCCAAAAAATCCTCCATGGGCGCTTGGAGCCATTGGTTCCCCCAAAAAATCTGCCTCCTCTGTACGAAGCTTCGTAGGGCAGGGGTACCTCCCTACCGTAGGGGCGACTGGTCGCGTCCGCTACAACGATACTTGTAAAGACAAATCAGTATTTAAACGTACAAATCACTGCAACAGATATATATCGGATGTCAATCCGATGTGTGATGCATTCGTGGCCGAGCGGTTAAGGCGGTAGACTCGAAATCTACTGGGGTATCCCCGCGCAGGTTCAAATCCTGCCGAATGCGCAACATTATCTTTTGTAAAGCGACTTCATTTTTACCATTTCAGGCTTGAGCACCTTTTTGCCTCAAAACAAACCTCGAGCCTCGCAACCTGAACTTGGTGAAATGTTCGGCCTTTCGGGGTTCTCCCAAAGGACCTTGAAAATCAGGGGTTCGTTCGATCATCTCCGTTCAAGTACAATGGTACCGAATTTGTTCAGCTTTTCGACTCGGTAAGTTCAGATTTCTGCTTAGGAGCGGCGGAGCCGCTCTCAGCGCAAAAATCGGTCAGGGTTACGAGCCTCAAGGAGGAACTTTCCATAGACTGTATTTGATCCCCTTGGCCTTTCTGCCTTTCGCAAGTGCTACAACCAAACAACCGGCGTTTTGTGGGTGAATGTTGGCCAGCTTAACATCCATAATAAAACGCGTCCGCTCCACGCCTCAGGTCCCAGCTATGATAGTGCCACAAGTCTTCACGCGTGAGTACCTTACCAGCCCTGAGAAGGAGCTCACGCGTGAGCTCCTTCCGGACGTGACTCCACTTTACTACACTGAAACTTCCTTTAAAATCTTTTTAGAGGGTCCAAGGTGCCTACACGTGAGCACCTTAAGGTGCCCACTCGTGAAGACTTTTTGCATGAATCAGCTATATATACCCCCCTCCAGATTAGTTGACTAATTGAACCTGTACCGGTCGATCACGAAGATCGCCGGGGATTTGGTATAGTGGTATTATGCACGCTTCGGGTGCGTGAGGTCCCGAGTTCGATTCTCGGAATCCCCCGAAATATCCTTCGGGCCCAGCTTGGCTGGGAGTGTCTCATGACCCAGGTTCATAACTTTTTGCACTTTATTTTCCGATGTCTTTTACAAGTGATTTTACCGCGGCCGAATCGTCTCTTAAGGAAACGATTGACTTTTGATGGCGGGTTTCCCGTTTTTAGGGGATTTGTACGGGGAGTCGCCCGAAATCGGGG